ATCATCAGCAGAAGGACTCTGATCTAGGTACATAGGTATTGGGCAGATTCATAATGGCGTGACGAAAGTTTCATATCAGAACACATTTTTACAGCTTAAATGGAAAGTTCATTAGCAGAGAGTTTGTGCTGTTTTAAAGCTAAGCAGGCACTATGTTCAGCATTACACTCACCAAAGCAGAATTAAAGAGGCTGTGACCAGAAATGCATTTTAAGTTCAAGTTCAAATCGTTTCTCGAAAGTTTGTGTTGTGTACGTAGACTTGAGTTTATCTGGGTGATAAATCAGCAGATTATCCCAGGACTTCATGTAACAGTTATATTGCAGGATGTTGTTATAAACTTCATTGAACGATAAAGTTTGTTGTACTTTTCAGAATCAAAGCGAAATAATCAGGTTTGACGTGTTAATGTGCGCTTCATTCATCATTCATGTCATATCATTTTATTTTACAAATTACGTAGATTTCAGCTCATGTTTAAAAAAGAAATATCGATAGAATTAACGCTGATGTCAACGAATGATCTCAAAATCAGATCCTCGCTCTGGTCGCTGTCAGAAAGGGGATGGATTACATGTTCTCTCAGCATGACCTCAGTTTCCTGGATGATGTCATCCCGGAGAAGGACAAGAAGAAGAAAGAGGATGATAAGAAGAAAAAGAAGAAACGTGGCAGCATAGACAGCGACGCTGACGACGTAAGTTTGGGATATGTTCATCTTTTCTAACTCACTCTTAGGTTTATTTGAGATTCTTCATTCTTAACTCCTTTTGTTTGTTTTCTGTTACAGCAGCACATCCTAACTCGGGGTTTATGCACATTTCTTTCATTTTTAGGTTGTAGTTCTTCCAGTTAATGAACACGAGAATGTTTAAGAGACGACATATGCTAAAATCATACCTTCACTGTGTAGACATGCACCGGAGAACGCCGTGGGTTTTATTCAAGCACTTTGCATTTTTAGATATTTGCAGCATAGAGTAGTAGGGCTGCCACAAACGATTATTTTGATAGTCGACTAGTCACCGATTATTTTTGCGATTAGTCGACTAATCAGATCATCATCCATTGGATGTAAAACGTACAGCTTATTGCAC